TTAATGACTGGTACCGTAGGAAACTAGTTGATTTCGTTTCCCTCGAAACCCAATGTTTCCCAGGCGGAGCTGAGGATCCCAGGAAACAAAGTTAACTGTTTCCCCCAAGACCATTCATTAAGCGTTTAATGTCAGTCCAGGAAGATATAAACAATTATACCATGCCATAGAAAATTCAGCCTATCAGAATACAGGAAAGCCGTTGTATATTCGACGGTATTACGTCCAAGCTTCCCATCATGCGCCGCGCGTATGTCGCGTGATTGTGCTGGCCACTGTATTTTCTATGGCATGGTATAAAATAGTTATGCAACGCTCTCTCGTGGTATACCATGAAATATCCCGCTTGTCACTTGCATTTTCTCGATATACACACTCGCCTGAAAGGCTTGTGTGTATACCGAGAAAACGCAAGTGACTCGTGGGATATCCCATGATATACCACTCGAAAACGTTGCATGACTAATGCGTCACACGTACAGCTGTAGTCGGAAAATTGAACTTGAACACGAAATTCTTATTCAAACTCATAAAAAAGATATAGTTTTCTTCCTCGTTAATATTTATTATCAAACTGCATTCTGTTTTTTTTTTTTTTTAGGGTTGTCCCATTTGATGGGAACAAATCTGTTGCGTGCCTACATGCATGGGTTCTTCATTGATATTCGACTTTATCATAAGGTGACGAACTCATTTCAATACAATTTATTGCGCTGAAATTCCATCACAGTAAACACTTGACTGCTAGCTTGTATTGCTTGTGGTATCAATTTTCAGCTTCATATATATGTTCNGTTGCACTTGAATTTTTTTAATGTCCTCGTTGTGCTATATAACAAATCATTTAATGACTGGTACCGTAGGAAACTAGTTGATTTCGTTTCCCTCGAAACCCAATGTTTCCCAGGCGGAGCCGAGGATCCCAGGAAACAAAGTTAACGGTTTCCCCCAAGACCATTCATTAAGCGTTTAATGTCAGTCCAGGAAGATATAAACATTTATACCATGCCAAACGCGCGTATATCGCATTGATTGTGTTGGCCACTGTATTATCTGTGTCATGATATAAAATAGTTAGGCAACGCTCTCTCGTGGTACACCATGGGATGTTCCTCGTCACTTGTATTTTCTTGATATACACACTCGCCTGAAGGCTTGTGTGTATACCAAGAAAACGCAAGTGACTCGTGGGATATTCCATGATATACCACTCGAAAACGTTGCATGACTAATGCGTCACACGTACAGCTGTAGTTGGAAAATTGAACTTGAACACGAAATTCTTATTCAAACTCATAAAAAAGATAGTTTTCTTCCTCGTTAATATTTATTATCAAACTGCATTCTGTTTTTTTTTTTTTTTAGGGTTGTCCCATTTGATGGGAACAAATCTGTTGCGTGCCTACATGCATGGGTTCTTCATTGATATTCGACTTTATCATAAGGTGACGAACTCATTTCAATACAATTTATTGCGCTGAAATTCCATCACAGTAAACACTTGACTGCTAGCTTGTATTGCTTGTGGTATCAATTTTCAGCTTCATATATATGTTC